CACACACACACACACACACACACACACACACACACACACACACACACAAAGATAACCAAAACTTAGGGGTGGAGTATGGACGCATGCAGCACACACTGGTCACCACATAGCGATGGTCACATTTTACTTCTAAGACATCTGCCGAAACAGTGTGCTAGAAAAAAGTGTTCCCAAACAGCCTGTGGGGTACTAAAAGCAGTTTACAGTTTACTGACTTCTGCTCACCCTGCCGGCCCTGCTTTTAACAGAGAGGAGAGCTAAAGGCCTCCACCCAGGGCAGCTAGAGGTTAATGTGCATTTCCAGAAAGCTAACAATCTGGTGCATAATTAGGTCATTGTTCTTAAAATATCTGTTCATGGTGCGATTGAAAGGAACCTGATGGCCTATTAATAAGAATTAGAAACCTCCCTGTGTTAAAAATAAAGAATTTATTTCATGCCCCGAATTTAGTATAAGCTAATTGGAACTGTCAGACAGGAGACCGTTTGAATTAACGTTCAAGGACGTCGTCTCACCTCCAAGGAGTAGGAGCTACAAATGGCTGAGGTCACTTACGTGGTGTATGTGTGTTCTCTGATGTTCATGTTAAGCTCATTGGCTAGCCTGCTCCTCACCCAGCCCGTGACCTTTCTGGACACAATGCTCTTACTCTTTGCTTCAAACCCAGCACACTTTCTCAGCTCCTCCACACCACCGTGGCATCTACTATTCATGGTTACTGTTGGGCACCCCTGCAAGGGTGGTTTAGATTAGGTTAGCCTCTGAGCATGCCTCTGAGGGTTTACCTTGATTGTGTTAAGTTAAACGAATTGTGAAAACACCCCTAAAAGTGAGCATAAGCTTTCCTTACGCTTGGGTCCTTGCTAAATTACTTTTTTAAGACTTTTTTTTTTAAGATTTATTTATTTATTATGTATACAGTGTTTTGCCTGCATATCTGCCAGCAGGCCAGAAGATGGCATCAAATCTCATTACAGATGGTTGTGAGCCACCGCGCCGGTGCTGGGAATTGAACTCTGAACCTTTGGAAGGGCAATCAGTGTTCTTAACCCCTGAACCATCTCTCCAGCCCCGCTAAATTACTTTTCAACTGCAGTGAAGAGACGCCATGACCAAACGACTTACAAAAGAAAGCATTTAATTTGGGGGCTCACTTACACTTTCAGTGGGATAGTCCCTTATAACTACGGCAGGGAGCATGGTGGCAGGCAGGGTTCACCCTGGAGCAGTAGCTGAGAACTCACGTGTTGAGTTGATAACCACTGGGAAGAGAGAGGATGGGGAGAGAGGGAGACCCCAAAGTCCACCCTCAGTGACATGCCTTCCCCAACAAGGCCGCACCTCCTAATCCTTCCCCAAACAGTTCCTACCAAGTGGAGACCAAGCGTTCAAATATGTGAGCCTATGGGGGCCGTCATCATTCAAACCACCACAGTTCCACACTACACAGAAAAGAACGCTGGCTAAACACACAGATGCATTTATCTCTTTCTGTTTCTTGACTGAGATGCAATGTGACCAGCTGCCTCGAGTTCCTGCCTTCCCATCATGAGGGTCTTGATCTGTGAGCCAAATAAACCCATCTTTCCCTAGTTGCTTTTGTCCAGACATCCGATCAGAGAAACAGGATGCCCTCCATTATGTTTATTCAGAGGACACAACTTGTCCTACAAGATGGAATTCCAACTTTGTCACCTCTGCTCTGAGGGACCTCATTCAAGAGGTTTGAAGACCACTGTGCATGTAAATCTACTCTAACTTGTTATTTGTGGTTGTTTCCCAGCTGAACCCCCAACTACCTGTAGCCAGTACAAGTCCTAGAATAGACAAGGCAAGAAAAAAAAAAAACTAACGAAGACCCAGGAAGCTTCTGATTAGGACTTCTATGAAGATTTATATTGATCCCTGAAATATTCAAACACCAAACACCCCCAGCTCTGAGCCTGCATATTTTGGGGGAGCCATCCTGAGGGTCTGGGGAGAGGCCCCGGGCAAGCGTGTTCAGCTACCATGACCACAGTAATGGCTGTGTCACCTCAGCAAGACAAATCCTACCTCCTCCCAGCACTGTGGGAAGCTGTGGGGCTAGGGATTCCTCTCAGAGGTAGAGGTTTACCTAGCAAGCCCAACTTGAGTTCAAGTCCTGAGTTCATTCCCCAGCATTGAGGAGGGGAGGGGCAGATCAACAGAGAACAGCTATTGTGGGATATTTGATCACACTGTGTGAAGAAGTCTGTTTTATCTCACCTTTCTAAGGCACCTTCTGATTGGTTTCATACAGAGCTAATAGCCAGTAGCTAGGCAGGAGAGGATAGGCAGAGAAAGAGGAACTTGGGAGGAATCAGCCAAAGCTGGTTCTGAAGTACTGGGAAGAAGTAACTAGCCGTGTGGCAGAATGTAGGTTCATATAAAGGTCGATTTCAGTCTTAAGAGCTAGTTGGCAACAAGTCTAAGCTAAGGCCGAGCTTTTGTACTTAATAAGAAGTCTCAGTGTCATTATTCAGGAGCTGGCGGTCCAAAGAAAGTCCTACTGTTCCTGCTCTGGGAAGCCCTCCGGCTCCTGCAGTGCTTGGGCTGACACATTTCTTGCCCAATCTGCTGCTGCTGTCAGTTTCCATTAACAGCTGGTGACGTCTCAAGTGAGGGACCTCCTCCACCGTGCCTTGGGCGCACAGCGCTCTTCCTGGAGGGCTCTGGGCTGCTCCTCTTTGTCATATCCACAGCCAAGCTCCTGATTTTTCAACTCTTGTCTTCCTCATCTTAACTAAAGCAGCATCTGTTAGCTCTGTTTTCTGAAGACCCTGCAGGCTCTCCTCCAAGAGCCTCTGTGCACTGACACAGGGAGCCAGCAGAGGGCAGCAGAGAGCAGTACGCCACCACATAATAAGGAGTCGCACGGAGTCACCTGCAGACTCCACGGTTGGCATGGGAGGATGTAAGGTCAGACATTTGGCGAGTGAGTCTCATCTTGGGGATTAGGTGGGGCAACTTGAAATCTAGGACGATAGAAATGCTTTAACGTTATCAATAAAGATCTCTACAAATTAAAATAAGGGGAGAGTTTCTTTGTTTCAGACAATAAAAGATAAAAGAAAAAAAAAGATGGTTGAGCCTAGAGTGGTGCTGGAGGTTGAGGACTCAAGTTCAAGGCCAGCCTTGACGGACGACATCATGACACACTGTCTCGAAAGTGCCACGTAGGTGCCCAGCCCGCATTTCCTTGGATAAGCGCAGCAGTGCCTGCCCCTCTCCACAGCAAATGGAGACCATCACGGGAAACCACAGCTGGACCTAAAAGCAGAGATGAGTGGATCACAGGGAGGCCAGCCCCAGTGCGTGCACCTGCGTCACCCACGGCTCAGGGCGCAGTGACGGAGAGGGAGGGGAAAGACAGTCGGTGCCAGAATAATACCAAGACTTCGGTGAGTCTGTCTCTCCCAGAAGTGGCTGCCTGAGGAAGAAAAGCCCAATGCCAGTATCAATGGACAAGTTCGCGTGGACGAGGGGAAATTTCTCTGGGTATCACGTCCAGACAAAGAAGTACAGGCAATTAATGACTGCAGGGGGAGAATTAGCCTCTCCTAGGAATGAGACCCCTTATTGGTTATCCAGTGTAGAGAGGTCATGCTTGGTACCATATACACACAAACAACAGAAACAGACTCAGGAGATTATACTTATATGTGTTTGTGCATGCACATGCATACATATACGTGTATGTAACCATAATCAAAGAAAAGGGGGTTATCAACTTCAAATTGGGGAGCATGGGAGGGGTTTCAGGAGAGGGAGAAAGTGGTATAATTCTATTTTAATTCAAAACATATTTTTAAAAATGAAAACTGAGAGTCAGGTGGTGGTGGCACAGGCCTTTAGTCTCAGCACTCAGGAGGCAGAAGCAGGCAGATTTCTGGGTTTGAGGTCTGCCTAATACACAGAGTGAGTTCCAGGACAGCTACGGCTTTACTGAGGAACCCTGTCTTAAACAAAACTAAACAAATTAAAGCCATAAAACATAACAACCTGAGGAAAGGAGCACTGGGGAGCGAAGCTGATCATGTCGGTGACTGCGGGTGCTGCAGACAGGACAGGAGTCAGACCAGGGTGGAATGACAGGCAGCTATGGGAGAGTGAGGAGGACCAGGTGGGAACCCCACATGTGGTTAGAGCCTCCCAGTGTTTATCAGAGAGAGTTCCAGACTTGCACATGAGAATATAAAGCAAGGAATTTAACACAGAGATAAACTTAGCCTTTCATAAATCATACATGTTTTGTTATTTAATATAAATTTTTAAATATTTTTAAAAATCATTATCAGCAACAACAACCACCTGTATCAGGAAGAAGCTTTCAGTCTCCTGTAATTCCAGCTCCAAGAGATCTGTTAACGTCTTCCGAGTTCCGAGGCACCCATGTGCACATGGCATTTACACACAGACACACACAGAGGTGCACACAAATGAACAGAAAAGTACATCTTAAGAAGGAATAAAAATGTAAAAATAAATTCCCCACACCTTTGTTTTGTGAGCTATTTTAATGTATACAAAAATTTGAGGAGGTGGCTGTCAAACTTAACTATTCAGGCCGCTCTAGACTGTGGCCCCAAGGGGTTCCTTCTCACGGCCCGGGGCAGCCAGAGGGCTGAGGAGCCCAGAGGTGTGGCCTGTGGAGCTGGACAGCAAGAGCACCCACATGGTGCCAGCTCTTATCAGGGGCATGTTGAGATAGTGCTTGTTCCCATTTGCCAGGAAAGAAAACAAGGCTTGAAGTGGTTAACCCTGATGCTTCCGGCCATGTTACCTCTCAGATAAAACAGAGAAAGCACACATGTGTCACAAATGCCACGTGTTCCTGAGGTTTGGCTCCGTGGGCTCTGAGGAAGCCCTGCTCCGTGGGTGCACTCCTCACAGAGGCTGCAGACGGCTCTGTGAGTGAGCATGGGAGGAGGCTATGCAGGTGAGGACCAAGACACAGCTTTTGCCATTTTACAAAAGCTGTAACCTCATAGCCTGCTCTTGGCTTGTCTGTTCAGCACTGAAAAAGGGAAGCCAGACAGAAAACCAAATTTATGGACCATGGCAGGCTCTGCCCAGCAGGAAGCCAGGCAGGACTCACCTGGAGAAACAGAAACTCTCTATGTTCTCTTCACGACTTCTCTATAAATGTAAAACTCCCCAAAAATAAAGCTTGTGGGATGCTTGCCAGATGGTTCTGTGGATGAAGTCTTGCCTCTCAAGCCTGGCGACCTGAGTTTGATCCCCGGAACCTGTGTAGAGTGGAGGAAGAGAACTGAACTTCACAGAGAGATTGTGGACCCTGGTTCAATGCTGAGCGCCCAAATCAAACAACAGACAAATATATAAATGGTGCAGGGGAAGTGGAGAGAATCCACCCCCAATCTCCATGTAAACTCTGTGAGCTGACGACTGGGTAGCTCTCTGACATATCTCTTCAAGCGGCAGTTCCCCTGGGAGCCTCCAATGCTGGCAATGAGTTCTAACTAGTTCCCATCCAGGAAGGCCACCTTCCTCCTGCAGGCTGGACTAGAAAGAAATGCTGATGTGACCCCTGGGCTGGTCCAGGTTGAGCATCTGCAACAAGGATACCCAACAGGCAAGGTTGGATTGCTGGGAAATGGAAGAGAGGGCAGCACTCAGCTCGCCCAGACTATAACGCTCGAATCTCTGCCACTTTTTTCCGTCTGGTTTATAGGTCAGAATATTCCCCGGGCTCCACCCTCAAGGATACAGTCAATTACATCTTAGGATCCTACCTACTTGAGAAACCCATGACTCCCAAGTTTTCAGACTCAGACCAGAGCGGGCCAGAGTGTGGCTGCACTCCAAAGAGCGTGTGTCCTTTCTGTTGTGATGTGCCCGTATAGGGCAGCTGGAAAGTCGGCCCAGCCTGTTGGACTTGTACCTACGGCACGAGCAGGGTGGAAACAGGTCAAACCCATCTCAGGGCCGTGCTCACCAGGAGAGGCCCTTAGACCCCCGCACGTGTAACACTCTGTACGGCCCACCTGGGCAGGAAGGCTTGGCAAATTAAGTGCTGACCTAGAGCAACTATCAAGGAAACAAAGAGGCACGACAGCACTGGGTAGGTGGCTCCGTGAGTGAGGTCCCGGCTTCCATGACCAGCAGGGAAGGAAGAAGGTGACGAGGACAGAAAGGAGACGAAGCCTACACCAAATAGATGGGGGTGAGCAGTATAAAGACTCCAGCAGATTGCACACACGTGTGACACCCAAAGCCTGCTTCCCCGTGCCCTGGCTTCATTCTCTGGTCCCCTATCTTCCCGTTCATGTCACAGCTCTCCAACTAAAACCCTACTTTAGTCACAGGAATTGGTCCACAGGGCCCTTGGTGCTTCGAAAGTACATTCCCAACAGCTTACTCCGGCTGCCCTCATTGGTTTGAGAGCACATGTCCGTGGACTTAGTCTAGCTGCCCAGGTGCTTCGAAAGCACTTTCTTCAGAGTAGAAGAGTTTGAACACTTGTCCCCCATAAGCACCCTTGAAGCTTTCCCAGCCATCGGTTTCAAGACTTCCCCTCACTGGGACACACACACACACACACACACACACACACACGGCCACACACAATGACCAAGCATCCTGCATTCTCTGGGATTGCCACACTAGAAGTCTGCATTCCAGGAAACCCCTGAGGCCCAGGCAAAAGAGAGGCTCTGTCTTACAAGCTCCCAACCCTGTCCCAGGGGAGCGGTGCTGGTCAGGGACCTGTGCCAGCCCTCCCATTTGGTCCTGGGAGAGCAGGCAGAGAAGGCTAACAACCACACCTACCCACCTCTGCCCTTTCTGGGACTTGAATACGTTTTGCTCCCTCTGGGGAGTGAACTGAACTCTAGGTACAAAGTGTCATCAGTGGGTGGATATTTAATCCAGTGTTTGCTGGGGGCAGTGATGGTTTGGGTGATGATCAAGATTAGTGAGGCAATCAAGGTGGACAGACTGACCAGAGGACATGTGTTCATGCACAGGCTTGCAAATGAGGCATGCGCACACACACACACACACACACACACACACACACACACACACACACATCTTTTTTCCCCCAGACGATTCCCTGCCCTGCCTCAGAACTCTGGAAGCAAGGCAGCAATCAATCACCAGCTAATGATCTTTAACCTTCTGTCAGAACTGTGAGCCCAAACAACCCAGTTCTTTTTTAAGACTCACCCCGGTCTCCACTTGGCTCTCGGTTTCCAAATAGAGTCTTGCTGTACACTGTCCAGGCTGGCCTTGCCTTGAAGTCAGGTCCTCCCATCTCACCCAGGGGAAGCTGGGACATCAGGAGCACACACCACAGCAGTCGTGTTGTTCTTGGGATCTTGGGCTGGACCAAGGACCCAAATTGACGCCAAACAGATCAGCAGGAGAAATACGTGCATCAGTCCATGTGCGGGGGGGGGGGCCCCCCCCCCACCCGAACGATGACAGCTGAGCAGTCAGGAGCACTCGCTGCTCTTGCAGAGAACCTGCATGGTGGCTTATAGCTATCCATAACTCCAGTTTGGATGCAATCAAAACATTTATAGACATAAAATAAAATATACATTTTTTTAAATGCATGGAGATCCTTGAAAGTGAGTGAAGACCAGAAAAACGGTCAGACAGAAGGCCTTTATTGGTCCCACTACAGATGGTAAACTGTGTTTGGAAGTGATACGAAGGGCTGGAGCACACCATGCCCTTCCAGAGAACGTGAGTTCTCTTCCCGGCATTCACATTAGGATGTTCACCACAGCCTATAACTCCAGTTCCAAGGGGTCTGGCATCCTCCTCCGGCCTCCACAGGTGCTCACACATGTGGCAGGCATTCATGCGCACACATACACAGAAATAAAAATAAGTCCTAACAACAAAGAAGGAGGAACAGGACAAAGAGTCCAAGCTAGGGCCAGCACTTGCCGCAGGGGTCCTGGGAGCAGAGTGGAGGGCATGATTGGGTGGGATGCTCCGGTACTGCTCGCTGGCTGCTGGCTCCAGCAGTGAGCTTCCCACAGGGATATCCATGGCGCCTTACCTGCAGAAAGAACAGACCAGTCTGAGATGGCCAACATCTCGAGCTGCCATATTTGAGGGCAGATGGTACTTCCCTCCTTCCACAGTGCCAGTATTCCCAGGCCCCTGTCAGAAATGCAGCTCAGGCCTGCCCTGGCCATCCTCCACCAAAGTCTGGCTCTCAGCATGGTCCCGGGGAATCCCTTGCCAGTCTGTCACTCTGATGGGGTGGCTTCCTGCCAAGATACCCGATGTGGACACCATCTTCTCTTGAGACACGCTTCTCCTTCAGCGTGGCCTTGTAATGTCCTGCCTGCCTTGGGACTCTGCCATCAGAGACAGCTCCTTCAGCTTGGCCCAGAACTGTGAGCCAAAACAAACCTCCTTTCTTTAAAGCTCGCCCCTCTTTAACACTTGGCGTTTGGGAAAAGCCAACTGGAAGTTGTCCCAGCTGTGAGCAAATGCCAGCCTCGGTTGTAGGGAAGGCTCTGGGGGCAGTGGGTTTGTAGAGCACCAGGCAGTGTGGCCACACAGCCCTTCCTCGCTGAGAGTACCAGGAAAGCGTCTTAGTTAAGAACACTGGACACACCTTAAACCTGCTCAGAGCTGCAAGCTCAAGAGACAAAGGGTGAGAAGATGTCGGCAGCTCAGCATTATTGTTAAGAAATTACTTTTGCCAGGCTGCGGTGGTGCACACCTTTAATCCCAGCACTCAGGAGGCAGGGGCAGGCAGATCTCTGAGCTCGAGGCCAGTCCGGTCTACAGAGTGAGTTCCAGGACAGCCAGGGCTACACAAAGAGACCCTCGAACCCCACCCCACCCCTCACCAAAAGCAGTTATTTTCAACAGCTCACCTCCACTCGGGTGATACCCTGATGCCTAGATTAGGTGGGGAACGCCTGGCCTATGTCAGCCACCTCCTCATTTGGGGCCAATGGTGATGCCTGGGATTCTGTAATTTGGGGTGGCCCCCGTAGGTAGGTCTGATGAATATCCAGGAACAAGACCACCAGTAGAGGAGAGGACCTTGTAACCCTGGTCAGCCCAACTGGTTTTCTGTGTACTCACATGGGGGTGCCTGCATCTTCCAGGCACTGAAAGAGGAGACTAGAAATGGTTCAGAGATCTTCCAGTGGGCTGACACACTCTGTGTATGTAGGAGAGAGAGAGAGAGAGAGAGAGAGAGACAGAGAGAGACAGAGAGAGAGAGAGAGCATGCATGCTGGTGTAGGGATGTGAGGAAGGAGATTACGGATTATGAAAGCCTGCAGAGGGAAAAGCTCTCAGGAGGCTCAGAGGCTGCCCAGGGTCTGAATATAGAAAGGCTGACCGCATTTCTGGTGAACGCTGCTGTCCGTGGACAGAGATGTTGCAGAAGGGGCTTTGGGACCTGCAGGTTGGATAAACTGGGAGGGTGTGTACCGAGTGCCTGTCCTTTTTCTTCCCCTCACCCACCATGACTTTGAGATGTGTCCATAAAGGTGAAGCTGAAGCTCAGAGCCATGGGACTCTCATGCTTAAAGGTTCCCCCCAGACACACTGCAAACAGAGTGTTCTTCAATGTGCCCTTAGAGAGGGGCTAGCAGTGACCCCCACACTGCTTCAGACAGAAGGAGGTGCCCCCAAAGAAGACAGACAGCTCAGGGAGGTCACAGGCTGAGAGAGTGGGGTCAAGTCATGAGACCCTCCTCCTAACCCAGGCGCCCCAGGATCCCTGCCCTTCCTTCTCTGACCCCAGTTCTCTCCATGTGCTGTGAGTTGGCACAGCTGACCTCTGCGATGCTTCCCAGCTTCTCAAAGCCATCGTTTTCTGAGGGGTATGTGTCTGAGGTCGCCGCACACCACACAGGCCAACGCTGGGAAAGGCCCCTTTGCTTTCTGCCTTGCTGGAGGAGTCAGGTACCAATCTCCCCGAAAAGCAACAGGTCCAGCCCTGGGGAAGGTCAAAGTAGGCGTTGTAAGAAAAAAGCCAGGGGAAGAAAATGAAGGAAAAGACCCAATCTGCTCTCAGAATGGTGAAGGCAAGGGTTCTCTGTTCTGAGAGGCTGGCTCCCCAAACCCTGTGGCTTGGTGTCTGAAGGCCTGCGAGAAGGAGATTGCCCAGTCTGAGCTTTTGTAGCGGAAAATGGGGGGTGGGGAGGGCCTGGCTTCCTCAGACTGTGAAAATTGCTGTTTTGTTTTGACAAAATGCAGGTGGGAGATGAATCAGTTGCCTGTTTTGTGACCTCAGGGTTCAGGGACTGAGGTAGAAATTGGAAAGTTTTCAAAACCCCACGGGTGGCAGGTTTCTTAAAGTCCTGTGGAAAATCCAGGTGTAGTGTCTTTTTATTTATCTATTTATTTAATTTTTTTCATTTTACATACTAATGCCAGTTCCCCCTCCCTCTCCTGCCCTCCATCCTCTCCTCAGAGTAAGGTCACCCTTGGAGAGTCAACCACATTCAAAGTTGAGGCAGGACCAGGCCCCTCCCCACTGCATCAAGGC